CAACATTTCAGGAGGTCTCGGTGATTCAAACCACATAAATCTCAAGTACACCCTCAGGCTCTCATTCTCCGTGGAGATGAAAACAGAACCTCCTTTCCAAAACATCATATCCTTAGGCAAATTCAAATATCCTTCTCCTGTCCGGTACACAAAAGACAACACAAACAACATAACATAAAGCTTTTGACCTTGTAGGTCAGTCTCCCCCATTCTTAGAACCACCGGGGGGTCCTTTTTTCTTATTTCCTTTTCTGTCTCCCCCATTCCACCGGGGGGTTCTTTTTCCTTACTTCTTTTTCTTACAGGCGCGCCTAACCTCTCACTGCACTCAGTTTCTGATATGCTATCCTGGACTTCCTCCAATACATTTTGTCCATCTGCAACAACAGCCTGGCAGGATTTATCTTCTAAGCAATTTCAAAGTGATAAGAGAACTGCTAAGAAGTAACAAGGCCTCTACGAAATCTTTCCAAGGTGGAGACAAGTCAAGCCCAAAACCGAAAAGTCCAAGAATAGTCGTACCTCTCTGAGCAAACACCCTGCAGTTCTGAATCCTCCTTGTGTCCAAGGGGTCTCCGGTGGTGCGAGCAGTTGTCAGGGTCCCTCAGCGTCCCGAGGGATTCGGCACCAGTTGTCCCGCGCTACCGTCTCGCCCGCAAGAACGACGCGGGACACTTAGGATTCTTCTGCAGTAAAGCTTTATGCATCTTGAGAGGGAGAGCATAAGCTTACATGGCGGAGACCCAGATAAGATGGAACCCATCCCTTATAAAGGAAACAGACCCTGCCCTGGACATGTCATTCCTGGATTGGTCAACTGCTCCCAGTCCCAGGTGAAACCTTGGGAGTAGTGGAAAAATACCAACACATGTGAGCTTTCTAGCTCACCTGGTGGTGCAGCGCCATCTATGGTGGAGAGTGTGATTGCGGCCTTCTACAACTGAACATACTCATCATTCCTAATACTTCTTTCTGTGAGCATTTTTTTCTCTCTCTCTCACTCTCTTTTCTCTTTCTCTCTCCCTCCCTGCCTGCCTCACCCCTCTCTCATCTCCCTTTCCTCTCTGTGTCCCCTGTAATTACTTGGAGCAAGTGAAAAGAAAACACGGAACACACAACAAATCTGCTTAGGAATTTATTAGAGGAGGCGTATACAGGCCTTGGGAAGTCAGTGTGCAGGGGGGGGGGGGAGATGGCACAGCCAGCTTTTAAAAACTGCCTAGCACATGAGCACAGGTGATTGACATGGCTACGTCATATACAGATGATGGGGCTCATGAATGCATGTAAGGATTTAGCTGAGTCAGACGTGGATGATACAACCATGCATGCGAACAAGGGCTTAGCTAAGTCATAATGTAATCCATACTGCACATGGATTACACAGGGCCCTTTAACATCCCGGGAGGCCATTAGGCACTTCTGCCTGGGGCTTGTCTGCACATGCACGGCCCCTAGAACTTGGAAGTGTTGGCTTTACGTGATTGAATCATTATACCCCTCGTGCCAGTCTTCCTCTCCCCCAACCTTCTTTGTGGCACTATCTTTCCTCACCCTGCCCTTCATATTTCTCAGGTTTCAATTTTTGGTCTTATTCCTATTCCACACTAAATTCACCTTTATTAAATTTAACTCTGTATCTCTTACCTCTACCTCAGTTCACTGTCCTCATCGTCACACATTCACATGACCTTGCATACCCTCCTTTCATCCAGTGAATACTACTTCATCTTTGTTTGTCTTCATGAGACTGTGAAGCCCACAGAGAGGTAATTTGATCTCAACTTGTATTTGTCTCTCCAACCCCTAGCACATCCCTTGCTGTGTAGCAGACACCCAAGGTGAACATAATGCACTTGGGAGATTTGTCATAAGTGTTTGGAGTTTCCTCTTATTTCTCCTCTCTAAATACCTATACCCTCCTTCCAGGAATCTACACTACTACTCCTCCATAACAGACAGAATTTTTCCCCAGGTTCTATAAAAGGAGGTATTTTCTAAGCCTACTAACACCTTTGTGTCATAGACCAAAAATATCACTTACCAGGATAGGAGTGTGGGGATCAGAAAATTAGTAAAGAAGACAAAAATGTGAGTAAAAATAATGAAACAGAAAACATAGGATAGTATCAGGAGGGAGTTTCAGTGAATACTGAAATCCCTGTGTTTAATTTTCCATGCACTTTTATGCCCCAATACAACAGGGGAAGAAGACAAAAACTGATTTAGAATTATGCAAAGGACAGCTAGAGCAGTTATTTGCTTCATTAGCATACTGTTGTTTAGTCAGTGAACACATCCTAGACCAAGTATCCTGAAGGCAGCAACTCCCAAGGTCAAACCTCCTATGTCAAAAGAAGAAGCAAAAGTACACTTGAATATTCTGACCATTGGTCAGGGTGGAGTGGATCTACCTGTATGGGCCATCTTAATGTCAAAAGGATCAAGTAATGACACCCTAGTTCAGGATGTATAGCCCTGGTTGTTGTCAACAATTCTGAGGCACCTTAAATTCTCTGACCCTCAGACGAGGTGGAAATAGGTTCACATATTTGGAACCCCCAATTCCTCTCTTTTTATTAATTATAATAAAGCCTGTGCTTCTGCAACAGAACAGATGATCATGTTTGCCTTATGGGAAAGTGTTTACCTAAGTCTCGGTGTTGATTCCAACATTAGATTCTAGATATAAAGTCATATACATGTAATCCTGGGGCTTGGGAGATAGAGGCAGAGGAGTCCAAGTAGATCTTTTCTACGTATCAAGATGAAGGATGGGCTTAAATACATTACATTTTTTTTAAAGAGCCAGTTATGGGGAATACTCCTTTAATACCAGCACTTAGGAAGAGAAAGCAGAAGAAGGATCCCTGTGAGTTCAAGATCAGCCAAGTCTACATAGTAGATTCCAGGCCAGCCTGAGCTATGTACTGAGACTCTTGTTTCAAAAAAGAAAAAATACAGCATGGTAGCATTAGAAAAGTTACTACATGTTGCTATCAAAGTACAAGAAGAAGCAATCGAACAGTCTCAAATGTCTCCCTCCCACCTCACTCCCTCCCTTCTCTTCCCCTTTCTCGTTTTTTCTCTCCGATTCCCCTTCTTCATCATCCTAGATTCGCCAGTCCATTTCATAGCAGACTAGCCCTCCTGACTGATGGCCAGAGCTGTTGTTTTCAACAGACCTCCTTGTGTCTTCCTGCAGATGAAAACTTAAACTACATCTGAAAGAGCCCAGAGTAGGGAGCCTCTCACTCAAGTCTCAGAAAAACATGACCCCCAGGAACTCACCAGAGACCATCCTTGCTGCAATCACATGAGGTTTATTGACAGGAACCAACGTGCTGGGGCCAAGACTCATTTCCCATGCAGAGAAGGGATATTTAGGGGAAGAAACCACAACCCAAAGGGGGTAGAGAGGGCATCATTGGAAAATTCTGAAAATACCAGTGATAATAACAAGGGGATAACTCTCCATTTCTCAAGATTATTCTCAAATATATAATCTAATTTTATGGTCAGCTAGTTCCTGGAACAGATTCTCTGAACCGGCTAACCAAGATTTTGGGCTCTACTCTTTCTGCTAGAGATTTTTGACTCTACTCTTCCTGGTCCTTCATCTCCCCACTTCTTCTAGTACCTAGTACTAATCATAAAACTAGATTTCAGTATCTTCTTGACCTTGTAAAGCACTATATTGGTGGCATAACATCAAAATCTGGACAGCACTTATTCTTTCTCTAATGAAGATAATTAGTTTAATTAATATCCATGGACCTATAATCAGTAGCAGAAGCAAAATTAGGAATGGTCCCATAAGGGAAGATATCAGAGTAGTCATCCAAGGAGATCTATTAAACCAGCTCTCAAACCATCCCTGAAGCACTTCTTTGTCTCTTCGTCTTTTGTTTAACCTTTCTCTAAGTTTACTCATGGAGTCTTTAATTACTTCTAAATGGTCTCAGAGAACATTCTTCTCTGAGAGCATTGCAAAATCCTCCATCTTACAAGAATAACAAATCTAATCCTCTTCTATTCTGTAAGACCACTTCTGAGAGGGAAGTCAATGACTCTTTGAGTTTGGAAACAGATTGTTCTGGAGCCCTCAAATCTTCATCCATGGCTATTCTTAATTCATTAAAGTATTGAGAGGCCTATATTAGAGCAGCGGTACTTGTCCCAACACTGGCAGCTACCCTGAGGCCCAGTATTATTGCTGGTGTCAGAGAAATAAGTTCTCATCGAAAGCGAGCTGGGCACTTGTCAAACTCATCTTTAAGTGTGTTAGCTGGATGATAAAAGACCCTAGGTACCAGTTGTACAAGAACACAGTAATCTTTGGTGTCATTTAAAACCGATGTCAATATGCAAGGTGTCAGGTCTGTACTACAAGCCCACCATTTATCTAAACCAGGAACCAAGTACCTAGTGTCAGGAGTCTTAGGACTCTTTAAGAGTCTCATTACACAAACGTTTGTAGGCAGCCGGTGGATTTCCCAAGTATGTCCCTACACCTGTAACCTCAATAAGAGTCAGCCTATGATTAATCTCCCAAACACAAGTATCCTGACTGGTGGTGCTGTTAAAAGCCCCAGATATTGCAATTCATCAAGAGTACCAAATATGGTCCTTTCCAATGAGGCTCAAGATTCCCAACTCAATGCTGGCAGACAAAAACGGTGTCCCCTTCTTGGAACTGATATGGCACGTGTGAGTCTCTAATCTTATATACTTCTTTCATTTGTTTCCAGATCTGGCATCTCACCACTTCAAGGGCCTTTAGGCAGGCAAATAAAGGTCTAGAAAGAATAGCATCAGGATTATACACTCCACCTGAATCAGTGAGCGGTGGCAGTCCCCCATGTGGGATCTCATAAGGGGTGAGTTTAAATTGTCCTGGGGTATTCCAAACCTGGAACAGGGCAAAGGGAAGAAGGGCTGTCCAGCCATTCCTGCTGATCTCTAGGACCAATTTTGTCAGGGTCTCTTTGAGGGTTCTATTCATCCTTTCTACCTGGTCTGAGCTATGGTGTTGGTAAGCACAATGTAATTTCCAATTGATCCCCACTTGGGCGGCCAGTCCCTGACTTACCTGGGCAACAAAGGCAGGTCTATTATCAGATCCGATTACCTTCGGTATCTCAAACCTGAGGAAGATTTCTTCTATGATCTTCTTAGCCACCACATTGGCCGTCTCAGTCCTGGTAGGAAAAGCTTCTATCCAGCCTGAAAACGTATCTATGAAAACAAATAAGTACTTGTTACCATACTTGGCTGGCTTAATTTCTGTAAAATCTACCTCCCAGTAGGCCCCAGGCCAGTTGCTCCTGAGTCTCTTCCCAGGAGTATATATGGAGTGTCCTGCATTAGTCATAGCACAGGCCTTGCAGCTTTTGACTACTTCTTCCACCAAGTCAGAGAGTCCTATAACATAATAGTCAGAGGATCTAACCACATCTTTTAGTTTCTTTTCCCCAAGAGGGTCAGGTAACTTGATAGTCCTCGGGGTGTATCTAAAGTTGGTTTCACTGATATCATAATAATCTTTAAACTCTTTGACTGCTAGAATCATTGCTCCTTGGGCCGCCTGTTTAGTGGTTAGGTCTGCCTTCTGATTTCCTTTAGCCAGAGTTTCTCGAACTTTTAGATGTCCTGGACAATGTGTGATGGCTACCTTCTTTAGCAAATGTATGGCCTCAAGGAGACTCAAACTTTTTTCTTTATTTTTTATGTCTTTTCCTGCAGATGTCAACAGTCCTCTTTGTCTGTACATAGCTCCATGTATATGGGCAGTGGCAAAAGCATACCTGCTGTCAGTGTGGATGTTGATAGACTTTCCCTTTGCCATCCGTAGAGCTTGTATCAGAGCCACAAGTTCAGCTTTCTGGGCTGACGTCCCTTCAGGGAGGCTACTGGCCCAGATTACTTGCTTCCCCTCCACCACTGCTGCCCCCATCTTCTGCTTACCTTCAACCATGAAACTGCTGCCATCCATATATCAGCTCAGACTCCCAGGCCAAGGCTGATCCTTCAGATCATTTCCGGTACCAGCTTCTTCTGCCAAAATGTCAGCACAATGATGTGTAGGTGAGGAGTCATCAGTCTCGGGCAGTAGGGTAGCAGGATTGAGGACAGCATGGGGAGCAAAAGTCACTCATTTGGTCAACAAAAAACACTCAGAGATAACCAGGAAGGAATGAGTCACTTGCCCTCTCTCCAAATCTACAGTTTGTAAGGTAGTCCACAGATATTGTTTCTGTTCAGTTGCTCCAATTATTATAGTCTTTGTATTCTTTAGCTTTCCCAATGGTTGTTTCAGCACAGAGTGTTCAACCCCTGTGTCCACTAGAAAATCCATAGGGGTCCCCTCCTCAGTCATGGTTAACCTAGGCTCAGGGAGGGGGTCTGAGCCCCATCCCCTCTAATCATATTCTTCTAAGGCCAGTACCTTAGAGGCCTTTCCTTTCTTCTTTCGGCATTCTCTTGCCCAATGTCCTTTTCTTTGCAATGTCCTTGTTCTTTAGCCAAGGGGTGCCTCTGTCCATCTTCACTCATCTTTGGTCTTCTCTTGCCCAGGTTTCCTATCAGTCTAGATTCTGTCTTCTCTTTCCTACCACTGCGGCCAAAATTCTAGTCAAATTTCTCTCTTGTCTAGGATCCCTCCAGTCCTCTCTTTCCTCTGCCTCCCGCCCCTGCCCTCTCTCTCACTTCTTTTCCTCCATCTCTCACTTAAGAAACACTTTCTCTGCTTCCTTAACCAAATGCTGCAAGGTATAATCCTGCAACCCTTCTAACCACTGTAACCTCTTCTTAATATCTGATGCTGACTGTCCTATGAAAGCCATAGCTACCACTGCTTGCTGACCCTCAGAGGTTGGGTCAAAGGGAGTATAACGCCTGTAAGCCTCCATTAAATGTTCAAGAAAACAGATGGCAGTTCAGCCAGCCCCTGAAGAACATCCCTTGCCTTGGCCAAATAAGTGGGGCATATTGTGGCCCCTTAAAGACCTGCCACAAGAGCTCAATAATAGACCATCAGTCGCTCCCTATCTGCTGCCATATTGAAGTATTGGAGGGGTTGGAGGTGGGGTGGGTCCACTAGAGACCTATAAACACACAGTGGTAATACTACTGTTGAATCTGGTCCTGCAGGACCCTGTTCCAGACTCTGAGCATGATGACTTCATGTGCCTGTCCCAGCGCCTGTCCCAGCCAACTCCCCCCCACCCCCGCGAGCCACCTCTAGTACCAGGATCAGGCATCTGGGGCAGTGGATAAGGGAGTGGTGGAGGGCTTGGCCATTCATGTGGCTCCTCAATCTCAGGATAGATTTTAGGAGGAGTCTAAGGTTGGTTCTCAGGCAAATTCTCAGGCCTTGGAGCTACAGGTTTTGGTTTGTGCTCTGACTCTGGGAGATCAAGGGCTAGGGAGCCTGGCTTCCATCCCATGCACCTAGGACTTAACTCAAGGTGGGGAATCCTGGACCAAATCTTGCCATACAGTAATGTATGGTTGTTGATCAGAATGGGATCCTGGTTCTTCCTGAAAAACAATAGCTTTAATATCAAAAACAATGATTAAATCAAAGGTGCCCTCTAGAGGCCAGCTGACATCAAGCGCCAGCCACTCCTAGGAGCAAAAAGTAAAAAGTCTTCATGGCCCTTTCTTAATGTCGACTGACAAGTTGTGTACTCTAGCCCTAACTTTAGTTCAATGATCCAGAGTCAACGTCACAGTCTGTCCCATCGTCAAAGTCACAAGCAAGACAGAACAAAGACTGAAGACACACAAATGACACACAAACAAAGGCTTAACAAATGTCCAACTGCACATAGACAGACAAAACCACTCCAGAAATACAGACAGCCAGGAGGGCATATAGTTGCAGGAGAACTTCCATATCCTCACCAGCACCCAGGCGAAAATCTCCCAGGCATCCCTGGGGTCCCTCCTCACCTCCAAGGACATCTCCCAGGGTGGCAGTCGTGATCTCCTAGCATGTCTGCTGTTCACTTCCTCTGTCTCCTCCCAAGATGAAGCAACTGCAAAACAGAAAGTCCAGAAATGCAGACGGCCGGGAAGGCATATAGTTCCTCAGTCCAAGAGAACTTTCATATTTTTTGGCTCTACTCTTCCTGGTCCTTCATAGCATGGAGAAGTTAGAGAGTTTAATACAAAGGAAATATTCTCTCTATATATATAGTTCCCTTCACCTCACCCCCCATCTGCTCCTCAGAGAAGAAAAGGCTTCCCATGGGCATCAACAAATTCTGCCACATCACCACTTTAGGCAGGACCAAGGCCCTACTGCTCATGTCTAGTCTGAATATAGGAAATGGGCTTCAAAACACCAGATCATTCATTAGAAATTTTCCCCCACTTGTACATTTTTACATCATCCTTAAACTCACTCCTAAGATGTCCAGAAAACTTTTTGAGAAAGCTTTCCCTTGTGAGCACCAGATAATAACTCTGCCTATTAAATGACACCTCTTCTCTAAAACTTTTATTCTGCCTGTAGATCACATTTTTTGGATGAAAATCTGGCTATTGAAGTAGCTGCCAGGATATTATGGTTGAAAGTGATTGCAATTTATATTATTTCATAAATCATGACAAGATTGAAAATGCTGTGACAGATGAGCCTTTAAATTGACATCCTGTCTTTTTATGGGCATTACAAAGGATATTCTTATGGAATGCACACTCCACAGATGCATCTTCTTTTGTCAGTCAAAGAAGTCCCTGCTTTGCACATCACTGGAGAAGACAGAGGCAGAGGAAGATCATGAGTAACAGACAATAGCTCTCCACTGTGCCTTGTAAGAGGGGAAATTCAAACTGCAGAAGTGCATCCTTGACATTTATCAGTGCTGTAGAGACTGGATACTACCCAGTACTGGTCAACAGCACAGGCTGAATCTCCTAAGCCCTCACTGAGACCAAAAACACCAGGAGTTTAAATGAAAAGAGAAAAAACTATCCTGTTTAGTGGTTTTTGGTTTTGTTATGTTGTGGTTGAAAGACAGAATCTCACCATGGAGCTTTGGTTGACCTGGAAGTCACTATATAGACCAGCCTATATCCCAGGATAGGCAAGAAATTTGTAATTTCCTTGACAGAGATCATAAGTAGTGGAGCAAGGTCTCATGTGGGAACCATCTGAAAAAGAGATCAGTCACCTACAAACCATAACAATGACCAGGATGTCACAATAACCTTGAGGTTTCTGTGGTACCACCAATACCATGCATGGCAATGGCCAACAGCTCTATAACTAGATTTACTCAACTAGATTTACTCAACAAGAGGGAAATCATGCCTGGTGTTAGAAATGTAGACAACTACGGGGCTAATGGAATTAGGATCTTAGAGAAAAAACTGTAACCACCACTTTACTTAACTAGCAGAGTCCCTAACAAACTTCTACATGTTTGTCCTTATACTTACAGATAAGGATAGCCCTCACCCTATCATGAAAACTTTTCTTTGCAAAAACAGACACCGTACAGAAAACTACAAATAGTGAAAATGCAGAGTTGTAGAGTCCAGTTCCAACTGATACATCTACAACACAACTTCTATACCTTAGTCTCAGGGACAATTGCAGACGTGTGGCAGAAAGATCGCAAGAGCCAGAGGAGTTTACTGAGAAACTGTGTCTCCTAGAAATGTCAGAGCTGCACCTATAAAATCTTCCCAACATGACTGATGCCTAAACATGAACTGAACAAGGACAATACCAGTAGACACACTAATGTGGAAAGGGAGGCTTCACCCCAATACAAAGAGCTAAAGGCAACAAAGGCAACTAAAGTTGAGTGGAAGAAATAGTCTTTCCTAGGCAAGAGCACACTAATAGTTTTGTATTGATTATCTAATATCAAGTTGTCAACCCTGAAAACACACATAAAATAGCGTAATGCAGACTGAACAGTTTGTGCTTATATTTTATAGGAATATGTGTGTCCCTAATATATATACATACATATGTTCATATATTATACACATACATAAACATTTTTGTGAACAATTAATGGGGAAAGGCTATGAATTTGAAAAAAGAAAAAGAGATGAATGTTAGAGCATTTGGAGGGAGGAAAGAGAAAGAGAAAATGATTCAATTATTTTGTAACCTCAAACAAATAAAAATAATTAGAAAGAAAGAAAATAACCACTGTAGCAACTCAATTTGGGTCTCATGTTAAAAAAAAATAATCATCTGAGGTTCCTTTAAAACTACCCCACTTCTCCATGGGCCTACCATGGTTGAAGTCTGTATTAATGTCCATGGGCCACATTGCCACCAAAGACCACACAGATTCTCAGAGACTGGATCACAGGCTGTGGCTACAAGGGTGTACAAGGCATACTGGCAAGAGGGCCGTGCTGACCTGAGTGGCCTACATAGTCATCCAGAGACATGATGTCACCAGGGCTGGTGCTGGTGGCCCTACAGAGACCAGAGTCTGTATTGATGTCCATGTCCCGTTACCATCAAGGGCCATGTGGAAGACTGGGGTCTTGTCAGTCACCTGAGACCACATCAGCATCTGAGAACCATATCACTGTGAGGGCCATACTGATCTGAGTTGCCGTCACTTGGGACCACGGATATTCCTGGCTGGGGTTACTGCCTAGGGCTATGTCTGGGTCTGTGGTACTGCAGTGGCTGGGGTCTTGTGTGGCATCTGTGGCTCCTGTTACCACTGAGGACTCTATAATTGCCCAGGGTCTGGTCAGTCACTGAGGGCCAGGCTGCCACCAGGACCACACTGATCTGGATGGCCTGTGCTTCCACTGGGGCCATGATGACCTCCAGGCCAAAGTTGATGCTGAGGGCTATGACTGGGTTTGTGATCCTACTGAAGCTGGCATCTATGATGGTGCCTAAGGCCCATGTTAGCACAAAAGGTCATGGAATTATGCTGTCATGAGCCCTCTCTGCCTTTCATTGGCCCTGGTCCTGCCCCTTGATGGATACTGCAACAGAAGAACTGGCTCCCCCCTTGGGGGAGAACTGGCTCCGCCCTTGGGGAGACCTGGCTCCGCCCTTAGGGGGAGAATTGGCTCTGCCCTTAGGGGAGAGCTGGCCCCCATACTTGGGAAAGATGGCCCCACCCTTCACCTGGACAGCACACTAGAGCTGACTCATGTCACAGACAAAGGTGACACAGCCCTGAGCATGTGAAAGAAGGAGACCTTGTCCCTTCCCACTATATGCCCCCCACAGCAATTGAGAGAGAAGGCCCTGCACCTTTCCTGGGCTAAACAATAGAGCTGGCTCTGATCATATGAATGTGAGTGATCCAGATCTGAAGAACTGAGAATAAGAGAACTGGCCCCACTCCTTGCCACAGGCTGTATTTGTTGAGCTGGAGAGATCTCTTGGGTAGTGGCAAAGAGGGAAAGCTGATAGGCTGACCAACCCAGCTACCACCAAGACCCTGAACTGAGGCTATGAGGTGGCTGACCCCAACACCTACCTCATCTATGAACTGTTGGAGCATGTGAAGAGGTTGAATCTACATATCCAAAACTACGGCATCTCCATGACACAGGAAAACAACTGGATATCTAAGAGAAGTCTCAGGAAGAGCCCATTATCAGGAGCATAGCAGAATGAGCCAGACCAATGACTCGTGGCAACAAACACTTGCAACTAAAGATGAATGACCTAAAGGGTACTGTGTGACTCAATTACCTAAAGGGTACTGTGTGACTCAATGAACCACACTACCTCTCCATGACAACGGTTCTTTTTCTTTCTTTCTTTCTTTCTTTCTTTCTTTCTTTCTTTCTTTCTTTCTTTTTTGGGGGGGGTTGTTTTGCTTTTGGTTTCGGGGGTTGTTTAATTTTTTGCTTTTATTTTGTTTCTTGGTTTTGTTTCAGTTTTGGTTTTTCTTTTAAATTTGGGCATTTGAGACAAGGGGAGGTTGCCAGGGCAGATGGTAGATGTGAGAGGATGAGGAGATAAGTGGGATCAGAATGCATGATGTAAAATTCACAAAGAATCAATGAAAGTTAAAAAGCTAAAGATTCCAAAAGCCAGACAAGGTGGTGTCTAAAATTCTAGCCTATTCAGTTCTAGTGAGGTATCTGTCTCTGTCTCAAAAACAAGATAGTAGATGGCACTTGAAGTTGTCACACACACACACACACACACACACACACACACACACACACACCTCCACTCCAGACAAACGAATGCAGTTGGTTGCAACAGTAACATGTAGAATCTCTAATGTTCCAATACATTTCCATTTTGTACTTCACTGATCTAAAAAGACAAAGATAAATGACAGAAATGAAGGCAGCAGGAGGATGTCGGCACAGGGTGCCCTGAGGAACCATGAGTATAGGTTTGGTAAGGACTATTGCTTCAGAGTGTTGGGAGACCTGAGTAGTCTCAGGTGCCAGATTCAGAGGCTACTGCTGCTCAGCTCCAGTCGGTTGTCAAAGGGATACCAGGTCTACTGTCAATTCACTGATTTGTTAGGAAAACTCAGAAACGTGAACAACCTCAGTGTGAAATTTCCTGATTTTTAAGTGTTGAAGAATAACTCAAAAGATTTAATAACATTATGCAAAATATCTAAACTAATCAAAATATATCACGGAACTGTGAGATTGCAGCCTCTGTGCTGTATACACTGACTCACACACCAGAATTCTCCCCCAGATAGAGGAAATGCTTTCCCACCTCTTTCGTAAACCCCCAGGAGCACCTGCTCAAGGTCCCAGACAACCTCCTAGAGGAGAGTCCCAAACGGAACTCACAGTCACAGCTGCTCTGAGACTTGCAAATGCCAGCCACAAACCTGGGAATGTCAGTCAAGCTGCAGCTTTCGATTTTAAATTTTGACATGTGTTTTCCTTGGTGAAGAGGGAAGCCACAGGTCTCCTGCTATGAGGTCACCCATTTGCTGGCCTGTCATTGTGAGGGGTACCTGCCACCCTTTTGCTGCTCCATCACTACGAGGGGATGCAGACACTCAACTACCATTAACCCCGGACCTTC